AAGATATAATATATAATAATATATAATAATTGTGATATACGTGAATAAAGGTGAATTTAAAATATGCAATTTGATATGAAAAGCAGGGGTTGACTATGGAAGAGATGCATGGAAATACTGTAACCAACTGACACACTTTCTGCAATTTGTAATGGAAGATGGGTTTTTAATTTTATTTTTATGTTTTTTTGTCCTTGTTCAAAAACAAATAAAAATTGTTTTTTAAAAAAGACAGTGTTGACTGGCAATTGCTTGGCCCCTAGAGTTTTCTTGGCAAAGTCTGTCATTGCCTTCTTCTTCTTAGAGCTTGGAAAGAATGACTGGGCCAAAATCACCCAGCTGGCTTTGTGCCTAACGTGGGACTAGAACCTCTGGTCTTCCAATTTCTACCCAGGTTATTTAACCACCACACCAAACTGGCTATTTCCTATTCAAAAGCCCTAGTATACTGCCAAGTAAGAATCAGACAAGATTTTTCCTTAAAAGTAAGCCAATGTGTTTATATGCTAATGAAAAATGAGTGAAACTCACTTTCCTTGCATTAAATATAGCAGATAATCTAGACAACTGGCTTTCAATATATTATTTAAATAAATGCATGGTATTTTAGCAGACATTAATCATAACAGATTATTCTTCAATTATTTGCACTAAAATTTTAAATCATCTCTTTCACAATCCATCCACAATACATACGTAATTTAAAATCCTAAAGTTTAAACTGGCAACTTTTTTATTTTTAAAGGAAATTATTGTGACCTTCAGAATTCATATAAACGGCTGAAGGCACTTGCTTGTTCTGCAGAAAGAGAGTACACTGTCAATTTTAAACTCATCTCCACTAAAGGTCTCCCCATGAATTTTTCTCACTAGTTATATTTACATTAATGCTTCAAGTGCAAACTAAGGAATACTTACTTGGGAGCTTCAGAATCACATTTTAAAAGCTTAATATCTGTTAAGGCACTGCTTCATTTATTATACATTAGTTAAGTGACTGAAACAGCAATTCTATTTCAGAAAAAATCAACACATCTCTAAGGATTTAACATGACTTTTTTAAGAAAAAAAAGTTACACGGTTATTGGGGGCGGGGGGGAATCAGCGACACTTTTTGTTTCTCTTTGTTTTTACTCTATCAGCACTGATTACCTCATTGAATGAAGAAAGATTAAGTTTTTTGGCAATGAACTTCTTTAGATGCAAGACTGTAGCTTGTGCTGAACAACGAATCCATTTTCTCTTCAATCCACGCAATTTGCTACTGTTGCATTCCAAGCAGATGCTTACCTTTAAGAAAAGAGCCAATACAGGTTACAATTTAAGTTCTCATTTCGTAGCAGCAGAAGCAGAGCATTCTAAATGGCATGATGCCCAGATTACGTAACAAGGAGAAACAACAAATCAGTGGTGGGTTTGCTTCAATTCAGAAGGGACCCTATCTGGCAATCCTAGCTACAAAGAATGGTTTTCTGTGGTGGGAAAGTCCTCCAACTGAAATCTGGAAGAGTTTAAGGACAAAAAGGGAAAGAGTGTACTAGAAAGGGCTGTTCTAATATGCTCTATTTCTGCTAAACCTAGCAGTTCGAAAGCATGTAAAAATGCAAGTAGAAAAATAGGGACCACCTTTGGTGGGAAGGTAACTGCATTCCATGTGTTTTCAGCGTTTAGTCATGCCAGCCACATGACCATGAAGACATCTTCGGACAGCACTGGCTCTTCGGCTTTGAAATGGAGATGAGCACCGCCCTTTAGAGTCGGGAACGACTAGCACATATGTCCGAGGGGAACCTTTAACTTTTACCTTAACATGCTCTAAGGCATTTTCTTTATGACACTTGGGAGAAATTAGCGTCAATTGTCTATCAAACTGAATTAAATCATTTGTTTTCGGGGGGGGGGGGATTACTTCACTGTAAAGACAGTTTCTTACTGTGTGCAGTTGCTGGTTTAGGTTGTGCATACACTGTTTTACTAATCCCATGGACATTTGGATCTATGCTCATCCTAGAATGTCCGGGTTCCATAAACTTTTTTGTGTGTGTGTGTGTGTGTATGTGTACACACAGAAACAAAACTTTACAGAACCTGGAGATTCTAGGATGAGCATAGATCCAAATATTCATGGGATTAATAAAATGGTGTATGCACAACTTTTACTAAACAATATATATGCACACTAAACAATGTAAGTTCCTCTCTGCTTTTTCAACTAGAACACTGGGATAAGTCCCAGGTCTTCCAGTTAGTCCCAGATGTTAAACACAGGTAGTTTGTCACTTGACATTCTTCAGCTCAAAACAACGTAAATTATGCAGCAAGGAAAAATGTTGTGTAGAATGAATACAAGTAATCCTCGACTTACAACCACAAGTGAGCCCAAAATTTCTGTTGCTAAGCAAAATAGTTAAGTGAGTCACTGCGGTTGTGAAGTTAGTAACAGGGTTGTTAAGTAAATCTGGCTTCTCCATTGACTTTGCTGGTCTGAAGGCCTCAAAAGATGATTACATGATCCAGGGATGCCGTAACCGTCATAAATATGAGCCAGTTGCCAAGTGTCTGAATTTTGATCACATGACCATGGAGATGCTGAAATGGTTGCAAATATGAAAAACGGTCATAAGACACTTTTTTCAATGCCATTTCAACTAAATGAGCTGTTGCAATTCTAGTGTCAGCACTCAGGCTGCCATCCAGGGGGAACCTTTCCATCACCATGCCCGCCACGTTGATGTTGCCTCTCTTATGTCGATTGAGCCTGTAGCTGCATATGGCTCTTCTACTCGGGTGTAACTGCCTACTCTGATGTAACTCTTTTGCTCGGCTGCAGCTAACCAGGAAAGAGGCTATGATGACACTGAGTGGGGGTGTGGCTGAGNTTCAAACTGCACTTTCCTTTTTTTTTTTTTTTTTGTAGAAAATAGTATAAATATTTTTACTGTCCTGAACGTTGAGTTTAATGCATCGCTCAGAGAAATATTCAGAATGGTGAGGTGGGAAAGTATTACTGTTTTTCAGGAATGGATTTTGCTGGTCTATGTCACGAGTGAATTGAGTAATGATGCACTAAGAAGGTGCCTGATGATAGTCTCTGCAAAAAAAACCGTCCACAAGGACAAAACAGTTCTTACAGCAAGTCCATTTTCGGTCTGTAATGTAGCAGTAGAGGTGCTTTCTGAAAAATAAACATAATTGCTTGAGAAACTCTCTGATGCAGAACATTAATAAACAAACGAACATGTCTTTAAGCTTAATCTTTGTTTAGGATTCTGATTGCCCACCACTGATGGCCAGAAGACAGAGTAACCCCCAGGCTCAATACCTCAGCAGGTTCTGCAGGGCTACCCCTAAGTGGAGGGAAAATTTCTGGTCTGAAGACTTTGATAACTATCTCTATCTTTGCCCAAAGCAAAGATGTCCCAAAGCCCACCCCCCTTTATTTTCCTGCACAAACTAAAACAAAACAGTAAGATAATTTCTGACCTGAGAACATGGAAAGATAAGGATCACAAGGAATCAGGATATCAGTTATATCTTTATGAATGGTAAAGTAAAGGTTTAGAGTTTCAAAGGGAGAATATTAAAAGCACCAATCGATTACCAGTGCTGCATACCTTAAATCTCCATCTTGTGACAACTACAAATTTGAGAGTATGGTCCTTGCCCAGAATTTCTTCATTGCATAATATATCCAGCTGATAAAGGAACAAAAGATTTATATTTTTACTAAAGAGATTGATTTACAAGATCCAAATAATGATGCAATTAAGACAAGTTTTGTTTTGCTTTTTAATGGCATGAAATGGTATGATACTACCAGCCAAATATTGCCTCGCAGAACTCTTCAGGTGTCTTGACACTTTTCCAATGCTGTAAAACTCAGCTAAGGTATTAGTTGTAACCAACGAGCTGCAAGCTGAATAATATGCATATTCTATCATTAAATTTGCCTGGTGGGTGGGTGGGAGATAAAAATTTCAGCACTTACAAGAGATGCAAAGTTATTTCAGGGCATAAACTTCACTCTTCACTCTGCTGGATAACCATCTGCTCCATAATCTACAAAAGACCAGATATTCCGGCCTTACAGAAATTAACTAAATCCATAGTGATAAAATTAATAAAGTGAACATGTGCAAGTTCTGAGCATCATCATCTTAAAAACCTGGAAATGAAGGCCTGAGAAAATGAATTCTATAAAATTGGTAGTTTAAAAACCGAGTCCCTGATACGATTCTATATAGGATATGTGGAGGCTAACTTAATTAGCTGTCCAGGGAATTATTTCCAAATAGGCAAGTTACAAGCAATAGCAAACAGAAAATGGTAGAAATAAGTGTCCCTTTGGATGTGAAATTTCTTGCCTGCTTTTAATTTGAAAGCCAGCGTCTGATATTATGAAGATCAAAAACCTCACATAACTATTTCAGCTACAACCTATGTATGCCCTCAAAACAGAGCAGATGTCGTACTTGACACATAAATGATTGTACATTTATTTTATCCTTCTGTTCCATCAGTTGCTGATACTAAATTTTACACTTAAAATTCTCACACTCCAAAAGTTCTTCTCACAATTTGCCAGATACCTCAAAAAAGTGCATATTCCTAATTGGAATATGTATTGGAAAATTATTTTATTTCTCTCTGGATTCTTTTAACAGGGACTAGAACTTCATTCCCACCTCCAAAGAACTACCAAACTAGCCTTGAATCTCTCAGTGTCTTAAGTTCACAAAGGAAAAAAAAAGAACTGTATACCAGGTTGAATAGTCAGTTATTTTCTCTGAAATAAGCACTGCCCCTGAATCAGATCAATGGTGAATAAGAGAAGAATTTAGATATTAAATCCTGGAAATCCTTTTGAACCCTTTTTACTGCTCATATGTTTCAAACTATTAAAGTAGTACTGCATCCCTGTGTAGTGAAACAATCCCAATTCCTCCTCATATTTGTGAACATCCTCACCACATATTAACAAGTTATAAGAAATGGACTAGAGAAACCAAAGGCGAAATTTCTAATGAACTGGATTTTTTCAAGACATGCAAATGTGAGTGTTTCTCAATTTTAATTCCAGAAGTTGAAGTCCACACATCTCAAAATCAGCAAGACCAAGAAATATTGGTACAGATCAAAATGAGCTTGCCCAGTAAGCACAGTAAGGAAAAGAGGAAACTGAGATATACCTGTTCAATGGAAGCAAGCAGTAAGAAGAGGAAACCTTAGATTTATCAACAGATCATACTAAACTTTATGTATGTGTAGGGTTAGAGCCAAGGTGGCCCAGTGGTTAAATGCAGCACTG